TGCAAATTTATGAGGTGGAGTTGAGATAAAACCTGATACAAGGACCTGGATAAGGGACAGTCTTATTCGGTTAAATTCGTGAAATTTCAAGTGTCAAGCAACAACGTGGAACTGGTATTACTATAAGAAAACAAAAGAACACCCTACTTTCATTAAAACATGGTGGTAACTATCTGGTTTTGTTGTCTTTTGATTTTTTTGATTCATTACTGTTCATTGTTTTAACTGTATATGCTTTTACACACTCATTTTTTCCTTGTTTGATTCGCAATACTCACATCAACTGATCGATTTAATCTTTGTCATTACAATAAAACGTTTCCAATTTTAAATACGTCCTTTATTATTTGCTAATAGTGAACTTGTTTGTGAAAAATATCACGGAACATTTTATAAAGAGTATAAATTCGTAGGAATTAATCTACCTAGTAGGCCGGGTAAATTGATTACTAACAAATTCGTAAATTAAAAATCACATGACGCATATAAATTGCTATATACCTTTAGACGATCCCTAAAAAAAGAGTATAGGTGGAAAGTTTTTTGACGATCTTTGACATGAGAAAACGTTTATATGATTTATGATTGTCATTTACCAGTAAAAAGATTTGTATTAATATCCAGAAGTACAGGCTATTCCTGAATAGGAAGAAAATAGGAATCGAAAATTATAACTGAGGTAATTTATTTAAGTAGATCAAAAAAAGAATATATGTAGCAAGTATTTTGGGTGATCTTTATAGAACGGGTATTAAAAATCACAAAGCGTAAGTTTACTCAAATCTACAGATAATGTATATATCTGGAATCTTACTGCGCTCACGTACTAACCTCAAATGGATATACTCGAAGAACATCTCCACTATATTAGATCCAGTTATCCCACAAAAAAATTTTTTTTTAAGCATCTTTCGAATTACATATGTCAGGTATACTTTTTTTTTTTAAAAAAAAAAAAATCCACTTTTATTTAAGATTATAATAAATTATTTTCTTTCAAATAGTTTTAGCAATTGAACGAGCTGTCGCAATTAATGCAGTCTTAAGGGCTAGCAAAGTTTGTCAAAAAGTTTTTCAAAACCTTGTAACGAGTGACACTGTTATTAAGAAGGATAGATCCCCTGTGACAGGTATTTACATTCATGTTTATATTCAAAATATATATCTTATTTTCATATTAATTAATTTTTTTTTTTTTTAATTCAAATTTTAAAAAGTTGCTGATTTTAGTGCGCAGGCAGTTGTAAACACAATATTATATGAATCTTTTCCAAATGATCCAATTGTTGGAGAAGAAGACTCGGGAAGTTTACGAGGTGATAACGGAAAGGAACTAAGAAATAAAGTCTTATCATTGGTTAACACTGTAGTAGATACTCCTTTGGGCGATAATGAGGTATGATAATGATATTTATTATTTGTTATATGTAGATAAATATAATCGTTTAGATTTCTGATTTAATTAGTTTGAATAACAGTTATTAAATGCGATCGATAGAGGAAATTTTCCCGGTGGCTCACATGGACGTTAGTAACATTTTGGGGGTTTATTTATTGCGCATTGATATATTAAAATAACTTGTTACACTAGGAATGTGGACTCTTGATCCGGTAGATGGAACCATGGGATTTCTTCGTGGAGAACAATTTTGTGTTGGGTTAGCGTTGATTATTGATGGGGATGTTCAGCTTGGTGTTTTAGGATGTCCAAACTTACCAGTAGATCTTAAAGCACCCGAGGGTGAAAGAGGATGTTTGTTTGTTGCCGTTAAGGGACAAGGTGCTTTTCAAGTAAGAAGCAAAAAATTGTATTCAGCTTTACAATTTATATTTTAGAATTTCATCTTTCTGATTATGAATTAAATTAATTAAATAATAGCGCAAGTTTTCTTCAGCCGAAGAGACACAAATACATGTGGCAGATATTTCATCACCATCAGTAGCTTCATTTTGTGAATCAGTTGTAGCCTCACATTCTTCACATGATGATGCGGCAAAAATTGCATCATTACTTGGAATCACAAAGCCACCTCTCCGAATGGATAGTATGTGTAAATATTGCG